GGACATGAAAACAATGGTTAATCCTCAAATAATAGTTAATGCAAATCTTAGCTTTGAAATAATCAATTCTGAATTCGTCTCGTAGCAAGTGTTAGTCAATGATGAAAACTAAGAAAATTCTCAAATGATAACCGTCCATTTATTTACTTCTTGTTTATCTTTTTCTCTTATTACAGATATTAATTAGAGTGTTTTATTGTCTCAGTTTGACATATATCTGTAGAAACAAATTCAAATGAATTATGAAGAAACGACTAATGAATAAAATAAGCGTTAATGTCAATTTGAACGTATGATTCAATACTGATAGATTTAATTAAATGTTTTCGTCTAAAAAGAATTGATTCGTAATAGGCAATACACTTTTCTTAATCACAGCTTTCATAGATGATAACAAACAAAATGAGAAGGTGTAATTTAAATATGAATATCAGCACTTCATGCATAGAAGCTTCCGGGAGTTTCCTGAACAAATTCTTTCATTGTAGTTTAGGCTTTTGAAATTTTCACTTTGTATTTTTGCTTCAATCCTTGATGAATTTTGCCTCAGTTTCTCCCTTGGCATAATACTTTGGCAATCTTTCCTCCTTCTTCAATCATTTACTTACTAGGTCGCCCTAGCACTAGCTGTTAGTATAATTCATGCATGAATTTATCCACCTACATTTTGGAATTTAAAAATTGTGTTTCCAAAAGCAAAATATTCAGTTGCTCTGAATTCACAGATTAGTGTAATCAAAGATCAGAAAAGGATGTAAGATGAAAACGATGAAAGGATCTAAAAAATATTTGCCATTCGCGAGTTGCAGTGTCTATAAATCACTAATGTTACAGTTTGGTAATCTGTTGAAAATTTCTCGAAAATAAAGATTATAATAGTACATCTTTCTTTTTGCATCACTTACTCCTTTCAGATATTCTCAGTGATTTCAAAAAGTTTGATGGCAGTCACAAAGTTAAACTTTGAGGAAAATACGATTGCGATGTTTTGTATTTCTGTAGTAAGTTCGATTCTTCATTTGCGCTTTTACCGAAAGGATTGATCAGTTATGTTTGATTCCAAAAGGTGAATAGCAAATTACCTGTAAAGAAATGACTTCCATACCTAGAAACAAAAAGTGTCGAAAGGATCATTATCTAGCCAATAATTGTCTTACCATCGGATCATAAACTTTTTGAGAACCACATCGTGCGGTCAGTCAATCAGTTGCTCCATAAAACCCCCATACCCTGAAAAGATTGCACTTTACTTAATGACAAATTTGATACAGATATCACTGTTCGGATTTATCAGCAATGGCTTATCACTTCACATCATAACAACAAATTCGCAATTTCGGAATGCTTATGGAGCTCTATCAATCCTTGGTTTACTATGTAATATACAGACGCTATCAATTATGCTAATATGGGAAGCTGTTGTTATAATAACGTAAAATATTTTCAATAGGTTTAATTTGTCAGAGCTATTTGTGACAAATATACTGAATTCAGAATTTGACTGATGGTTACTGACCATTATCGTATTTAATCAGTTCTAATTTCAGAGGTTCTCGGGAATTATCATCACCGACATCTTTCATCGCTTTAATACCCGGCTGCTTGGCAAATGTATCTTTTTACTGTTCACTATTGGTGCACTTCCTACTTGCAGTGAACAGATATTGTGCACTTGCACATCCTCTAAAATATCATCGTTTTTGGTCTGTAGCAAGAGCTCGCCGAGCAGGAATTATTGTCTATTTCCTTGGGTTTCTGCCATGCTTTCCAAGCATTTTTGGTAAAGTTATCGCAAGTTTGCTTTAGCAGTGAATCCTTTAAAAAAAATCAAAATATTGTCAGTGAATAGAAACGATTTATCGAACTCGAAATATGGAATTTCAAATTTTGAATATTGATCAGTAAATTACAGAACCATGTACCCTCATTTTTAATATGGAATTGGACTTTCGTTGGGGCTACGGCAAAACAAATTGTGGTTATATCAATTCGATGTTCGACTTAATGTTCTCTTCTTTAACGTTGATTGTAGCGGGATGCATCAACTTCGTAACGCTTATTAGAATTAAGAATCAGAAAAAAGTTACGATTCACAGTTATCTTATTAATTATTTGCTACAGGACTTTCTAATTAATGATTGAAATGAATTAATAGCCTTAATGACGCGATTCTTAGAATTTTTTCATAAAATAGAAGTTTGGAATCCAAAAAAAGAATTGGACGTACTTGAAGAAGAATTGAATGTAGTAAAAGAATTAAATATTTTTCTAGAGTACGGAAAATTAAAAATTCAACTTTATTTGAAGCTCTATGGTTGTATCACAGATTATTTTTACCGCATTTTTCAGTCAAGGAACATCATACGTTCTGCCAACCATAAACGTGAAGTATTGTTTTTTAAACAGGTGAGCACACAAATATTGGAATTGTTGGGCGAATAATTAAATTAAATAAACCGTTGTTAAATTATAATGAGCCTAGCTGATAAGTTTGAAAAGAATGCATTGTACAGCTCAATTTCCAGTCGTGCATAAGCATGCTTACCGTGGTCATAAATGGTATTTTCTTCATTATTGGTCCGTACTATCTTAGCAATAAATGGGCTTTATTTGCTTCGACTACAATTGCATGGCAAGTGGTGCATGTTTTAGATGGGTAAGAGGATTTTTACCATTTATAAGTTTTCTATCATTTAGCAGAAACAACCTGTTTCCTTTCGTAGCTTTCATTATGATATGGCAATTTCTAGTTTTTCTGACAAAGGTTGCATTTCAGAAATAACAGCTATCTGACAATTATTTGCATCTGAAGGAAACAAATTTTATAGAGAAATAATGTTTCTAATTTTAAAAGCTGAAATCATTCACTGATTTCAAATTCATATCATATGCTAATTGTTGGGAACTCCAACGTCCTTCAAAGACTCCTCGATT